CCCATAGAGAGAAGAAACAAAAGATTCATGTACATGTGTATGTGGCAAATGAGTATATTTTAGTAACTGTTACAAGATACCAAAAATAAAGAGTTTTTGAGAATTAAAAAGATAAATAATGCATAAATGGCCTTTAACTTTTTGATTAACATTCTAATTAAGAAATGGTAAATAGTGTATACAATTAGTATGAGCTATTTACATTATATATCAATTCTATAAAAAGTTGATTAATAGAAAGCAAGGAAAACCAACAGCAAAAAAAAGAAATCTTTCAATGAATTAGAATATTAATATAGGAAAAAGTAGATTAGTCCGTATGAAGTTGCTCACGTTTGTAAAATATCGTATCTGATAGGTATTTAATATTTAATTGGGGAAATGGTGCTATTGATCGGATCTTTATATGAGCCGCGTCACGACAAAACCAACATAAAGGGTTTGCGACCAGCATGGATTCAGACCAGCCTGCGCATATTTATTGGGTTTAACGTGGCACAAACACAGTATATGTCATATGGCGACTTTCAAGCTTAACCGGTGAAGAAAGACCTCAGGTACTCCTCTTTACATTATTTTAGGCACAACCGGGTACCTGAGTACAACCAACTACGTTCCGTAAGATAGCTGGAAAACTTTCTCTCATGGCGAGTGCGCTGGTGTGGCTCGAAACAACAGCAGTGACAGGCAAGTGGTTTTAAGTCGACCATAACAACTGGGTTACAGTTGTCTCAGTTTTTGTGACTTTCTTCTTTTATTTCTGTCATTAATGAATTTCCGAAACAGACTACTTATCAATTCAATCAATTTAGACTACATCTTAGGCATTGTTCTTCGAGAGGGCCTTTCTCAATAACATTATATTCTTTAATTTTTTAGCAGTACAACTTTTGCATGATCTTACTTAATAAACATCTCAATAACAAAAACAGTTGTCAGTATGTCAGCATGATTAGTATTGGTATCCTTGTTTTGTTTATATGTGCTATGAAATATGCTTTACTCATCATCACTTAGTCTAATTTCGCGTCATCACTTATTTCAAGAAAATGCGACAATAGACAATTAAAATGTATACAAATGTCTGAAACAATCATCTTTTTTTTCTAAATGTTCTAGTTTGCAGTAAAACTTAATTGTGACATACAAAGTAAAGATAGTTGTAATATTTAAAACAGAGCAATATAACATTTAATGATTTTCACCGAAACATGAAAAAAGTAGAGTGTAACACCATTTATCGCGCTTTAAATGGCATACTTTTTTCCAAAATGGCCGACCTGTGATCTACATTTTGACCAAAAAATAAGATTTTGATTGATTATGTTGTTGTTTCTTTGTGACATATAGCAGAAAATGTCTAAATGTTACAGCTTATGATAATTATTTTTTAACGTTAGTTCAATGTTTGTTCCCCTTCTTGTTTCAAAGAGGACTTCAAAAAGCGTTTTAATATTTGACAGGTACATCAACATGTTAAAGCAATGTTTCATAAAAAGTATACATCTTTAAGCGTCATGTCTTTATTTCAGAGAAAGAAAATACATATTTTCTTGTAGTTGATGATGTATTATACAGGTTATCCAATGATTTGACTGGATCTGAAAGACAGGGAAAAATAATTAATGCTTATTACAAATATGTGTCAGCTTAACTTACAATAGTTAATATAATAACGAGGTAATTTATTGCGCAAAATGATTAGGATGATAATTCCAAAACTTGATATTTTTCTTACGATTTTTAAACGGTTGCATTTCGGTCGCACATATTAACAATGCAATCAAAAAGGCTATTAATTCCTTCATTGTTTTGGATTCAGTGCGTAAATACAACAGTTGCCCTGTTACAGAGGCAACAGGCCCGATGAAGAGCACGGATAGATAGCTACTTATTTAGGTATAATCCAGTAGACGGTTAGTATTATAAGAAGTGGAATGGTAAAATGAATTGTCCATCCCTAAATTACTTAACATATTTGTACCCAGTGGACAAGGAATTTGTTCTGAAATTCATTAACGATCAGCAAATTTAGATATTAAGTCACAGACTAGAGCAACCCAGCCACCAAAGCCTTTGAAAATCCACATGACGACTTACTCTTTTTCGCAGAGAAATCCAAATGTACTGTCACAGTGTTCATCGTTCCATTGGAAGTTGTAGTGTGCAAAAAATGTCAAACAATGTTCGTTACCGCCATTTTGGTTTGGTTCATTGGGTCCCCAATCCGTTATTTCAAATCTGAAGTTGTAAACATATAAATTATCGTATACCATTTTGTTTGTATAACTTGCATAAATTGTATGAAAACAATATGTGACAAAGTTTAAAATGACTAATATGGTAATTCATGTCAGAGGTCTGCAAGAGAATACACTCACCAAAAATATATAATGAAGGTTTTGCATTCGAAGATAGAGCAAAATTTAATTTTGATATACTTTGAAAATCAATATAACAATAGGACTAAATGGCTTTATTAATATGCATGTTCATAGTTTCCCATATCCTTTAGACATTATAGTTTTAATTTAAAGAAGATTAAACAAGTCAACCAAGAGTTCAAAAATTGGTTATCATAGAACAAGGTGTATATTCAATTATATCGTGGCTTCACGACAATGTTTTATACCAAAATATCTGAACTCTATACGTCAGTTGATCATGTAATTTTCATCACAAATGTGTGCGCTGCTTTGTAAAATATATCTAATAATATCATAATGAATGCTTTAACGTGTTAAACAGAATAATTGTTAACGAAATGATCATGAAGCAAAAAGCTTTAATATTAAAAAGTCAGTCATTATTGCTTAACCCAACACTTAATACAAAGGAGGAAGCTGCAAAAACCGGGGGGGGCGTGGGCATGTTGCACGTGTAACCCCCATGGCAAACTTCTCTGATCCTCTCTGTGGTCTTGCTTTATTGTTTAATGTGGTTTGCTTTTTTTTTTCTATGGATCCTATTCAGTTTTCTTACGTTTATATTTGCCTATTTATCTTATAAAATCGTTTCTTGTTTGGCTTTTATTTTTAATCTTGTTTTAGATGGTTTAAGTCCGCGAAGAAAAACAAGGGTATATACCCCTTTTTAAATTTTGACGTTATTATCTTGTGAAAAACAGGCTTAAATTATATCGGCTGATCTCCCTTTCAAAACTCCATATTATTTAGTTCCGTCCATTGTTTTCTCGTTTAGGGTAAGCGCATGTTGAAACGCACTTGCAACCCATACGCCGCTTTCATTAAAAGCTTACTTGCGGACCATACGCCGCTTTTCATGTGTCACATTGAAGATACATGATAACCATCATATGATCACTTCTACAGATGTTTCCGAATTAAATCTTTCACAATTTTGTGATTAAATGTTGAATTCCGCTGAAAACGGTGCTAGGGTTGTGACCATTTATTATAACAATACGAAACAATGAAATTTAATATGAGTAAATAACAACTGCTTTCCAATTTTATAAAAATTTCAACATGTTTTGTCCACAATAGGAATATTTCTACCTAACTTAAAAAGGTATATTTTAAAAATGTTTATTGTTAAAATATGCCTTTAAAATATGAATGACATACTCTTCGCCAGTATTCGCCCAGACAAAACTGCCTTCTACTTTCAAATCATCACCGTCCATCCATACTTGATCAAGTTTATCTAAAAAAAATCAAAACGCTACAGGGTAAAGGAACGGAAACAGACTTAAAGTTTAATTCGTATACACCGTTGAATACAATTTAAGAGTTAGTTATGTTTGAATCACAGTAGGACAAATTGTCTAGACTGACGGAGGGAACAGACAAAATTACATAAACAAATCACTGTCCCTTAATAATAATCACCCTCTATAAAGGTTCATGCTGATACTTAAAATACTTTTTGAGTCATATTTATAGCAAATAAAAATGAATAAACCAAAAAGAGTACATATACTTAAGGACAATGAAAACGCACGGTCGAGATAACTGCATTTTAACAAGGAAAATGTATTTATTTTAAATATTTTTTTCACAGTTCCATAAAGCCGAATGCATTCCGGTCATTTAGATACCAAAGTTGTGAAAAATTATTGCATTTTAATGAAGTTATTGCATGATAAAGACAGTACCCGAAAAATCAAAAGTAACACTTTTGGCTAATTGGCTTATTGTGGTAAAACCGATTTAATCAATTCATGGTTACTTAATGAAATGACATTATTTATTTCTTTTAAACTGTTAATTATAAACTTTTTATCACACCTTTCTAGAAATGTTAGACACAATCATTTTTTTTATGAAAATGAATATTAAACTATGCCAATGGTCAGTTTTAGAAATCATAAAAGCTCACGTTGAAATTGCATATACACACTTTTCCTCTATTAAAGGTGCTTAATTTCAAACACTACTGAAGAATTGCTAGCAAATTGTATGCAATGGTTCTACAAAGAATTAACCGCTGGGTAGATTTAGGACAGATTCATTCTGGTCTATTTTAAATCAAATCTTGTATTGTCAAAGCGCCAACCGTTTAGGTGTTCATCGGTCTACAATTTCTCGGCTTCAGCGTTTTCTCACTACACTACAGGCTGAATGGCGTCAGATTCCACAGGCGACAATCGGCACCGTAAGGTCTATGAGGCGACGATGTACATCTGTAAAAGACGCTGATGGAGGATTTTGTCGTTTCTAAAAATCCAGACGGTGACAATACAAAAAGACATTTATGAGTGACTTTGTTTTGGATTTTCAATTTGGTTTTTGCCTTTGTTAAGTTTGCATTACTGTGATGAAAAAGTGTGATTTGGGGATTTTCACCTAAGGTTCTTCGATTTACTGGTGTTCATTTGATTTGTAACATTTTGAATTATTTTCAGTTGATAAGCTTGCGTTTTGTATTAAAGTTATGATATATATCTAATGGAGTCGTTAGTGTTTTGTTTTCATGTAATAAAATGCATATAATGCGGGCGTGCGTTTTCATTGTCCTTAAGTATATTAAAAAGGGTAATAACTCAATATAAGCAAGTAAACAGTGACTTTTCCTGAGCCATATCTTTTTCCTGACAGATATCTGAAATACTACCAGACCATAGATATTGTCTAACGAGAGCTTTCACTAAAGGTGACTCATACCTACACCCGCCACCTTAACTATTTGAGAAATAAGTGGTCTGGAGCAAAGTTTGGACTCGACCGTTATTTTATGATGTTCCACCTGTGTATTAATAATAACTACATTAATTTGCCATGTTAAAAGAGTATAACCATCTGCTAACCATTATTTTGGTAAAAAAATGGAAATATCTAAGTAAAACAATCAAATTAGGCTTCTAGAGAATATGATCTTAATTATTTCAGAGCAACCTATCAGAGCTATATCAAACTTAAAACATACAGTTTCAGTGTGATATTGCATTTATTGCGTTGATGTTTCAAATTGAACTTAATATCTCTACGCCTTCATGTAATGGGCTAATTAAATAAAGTTATCGCCAGTTATAGCAAAATGAAATCAAAAAATCGATAACTTGCCATTGAAAATTAATTGCATATATGACTCAAGATCAGCGTAAGAAAAAAAAAGGGAATAAAGATCAACAAAATAGAAAATACAGAATCCCTTAAAAAAAGCCCAACACCGCAAAATTGAAAATGTTGCAGGCTCGGTTTGATTTAGCGTTCATTGAACGCAGCCTTTCCATGCAAAGGGGTACGGCTCATTGAATGTTCACAAAATATGTATTTGATGGTAGAAAACATCTATCCTAAGTCAGAAATGAATTCTAAGTACATTCCCATTACACTATATACTAATATATAGACAAGGGTAACAACTCCCATAAGAAGGTGTCTATGCCCAATCAGGGTTTTTGCCTCGCAGTTTTTTACACGATACAGCATAAATAAAAATGAATTATGCAATTTGTAGTCGAATGATTTATCTATCGAACCAATTTAAAACTTTTCTTATATCTCTTATACTTAACGAGTACTGGCCGTCAAAGTAACAAAAAACTGTTCATTTTCGCGAGGTCGACATCGATCGTGGCTACGCAGGAAACACAAAGTTACACGACTGTTGCAATCGTTGGAGATAATATCACAAGCATTTATCATGCTGGGCAATTGAAAATACATAAAAGTAATCAAAATATACCAATAACCTATAATGACAATGTGATATAAACTCACCTGCGGCTTCAAAATATTTTCCCGTTGAAATTTCCATCTTGACGAATATAAACAACCGTCATCTGATTGGTCGTTTTTTTTTCGGAAATTTACGGGTTTATTTTCGGGAAATAAATCGACCAATCAAATGACGGTTGTTTACATTCGTCAAGATGGCGGTGTTTTATAGAAATTTCAACGGGAAAATATTTTGAAGCCGCAGGTGAGTTTATATCACATTGTCATTATAGGTTATTGGTATATTTTGATTACTTTTATGTATTTTCAATTGCCCAGCATGATAAATGCTTGTGATATTATCTCCAACGATTGCAACAGTCGTGTAACTTTGTGTTTCCTGCGTAGCCACGATCGATGTCGACCTCGCGAAAATGAACAGTTTTTTGTTACTTTGACGGCCAGTACTACTTAAGTATAAGAGATATAAGAAAAGTTTTACATTGGTTCGATAGATAAATCATTCGACTACAAATTGCATAATTCATTTTTATTTATGCTGTATCGTGTAAAAAACTGCGAGGCAAAAACCCTGATTGGGCATAGACACCTTCTTATGGGAGTTGTTACCCTTGTCTATATATTAGTATATAGTGTAATGGGAATGTACTTAGAATTCATTTCTGACTTAGGATAGATGTTTTCTACCATCAAATACATATTTTGTGAACATTTAATGAGCCGTACCCCTTTGTTTCCATGTTGATCTTGTTTACCATATCTTAGTAATAATATGTCTTTACCTAGATGATGCTTTCTTAGTTCTGCTTTCAAGAAGTTGTTCTCTTCGGTACTCATCACAATTGTCAAGTGACTCTTTTGGGATTCACAATAAGTCTGGAATATTTCTTTGTTTATTAATACATAAATTATATAAATAAATCAACATTTTTCAAGAGACTGATATTCTTGTTTGAAATTTGAAATGATATTTTGTCCCTTCGTCTTCAAAAGCATAAAGTCAGATTGAAATGATAGATAGTATTTTAAAATATCAACTTAATCTAATTTATATGTATATAACCTTCCAATTTGTAAAAAAAATGACTATCTCTTGCTTATTAAATAGAATCTAAGGTCATAAGAGTTGGCATACATAATTGTTATCAAACTTTTAACAAGTAACATGGCCAAGTATAAGCAGTTATAAGCCTACACGGCCAGTGGCACATATTTAAATTTCAAAAGCATCCGACCCAAATAGTCAAAGGAAATTTACTTCCCTTCACATTATGCTGCGCGGTTTCAAATACATAATTTAAATCTTTAATCCATTTACAAAATGCGTTACGGTACGCTGACTTCTGAGGCACTTACTGATTGTTGAGGGGACATCTATTGACGCTCAGAACTTTTAAAGTTTTAGGAAATATAAAAACTCCGTGTTTATACCGTTGGAAAGTTATTAAATAAAGCTATCCAGACGTATAAACATCCTCGAAATAGAGAAAAACAGAATCCCTAAAGAAAACCCAACACATCAAAATTGTAAAACTTTGCAGGCTCGGTTTGATTGAGCCTGTTTATGGACGGTACTGAAAGCGCAAGTTACCGTCCAAGCCCCCTAGCACCGGCTTAAGCAGAATTCAACATTTAAACACTAAAATGGTAAAATTTTGAATTTAGAAACATCAACAGATGTGTTCGAAGTTGTGAAAATCGTAATTGTGCTGTGATAAATTACACATTGCTCTATGTCACGGCCACATATCCTGTCAAATATGTATATTGCCGTTTGTTGTTGTTTTTGTCTAAATCTATATGGAAAAAAATACTCTGATTTGTAACAGTGTGTGTATAAATGATGTAACCACCGTCATGATAATGCAACCGCACCCGACATGCAGCATTGTAAAAATGATATTGAAAAGCATTAAGAGTGTGATAAATATTGTAAATTTTCATTTAAAAAACACAAGCACGCACGCACGCACACACACATACACACACATAGAAATTGTTGAAATTTTAGATGTTCGTCCTGTAAAAATTACTTGTTTATGTCATCTAATCCTCAGTTTAAAATAATGTTGTTTCGCGAGATGACACAAATATTGTAAAGTCATTAAAAAGGGTTTTATTAATCAATGCTGATGGTCATCTTATAGTCAGATAATAACAAATATAAATATCATTTTGACAGTTTGAGATTATTTACGCATTTGAGCCACGTCACGACAAACTAACATAGTGCGTTTGCGACCAGCATGGATCCAGACCAGCCTGCGCATTCGAGCAGTCTGATCAGGATCCATGCTGTTTGCTATCAGTTTCAATACTTGTAATAGAGTTGGTAAGCGAATAGCATGGATCCTGATCAGATTGCGCGGATGCGCAGGCTGGTCTGGATTCATGCTGGTCGCAAACTCACTATGTTGGTTTTGTCGTGACGCGGCTCATATGTTTGTTATGGTAAACACGAACCTTTGCCTGAGACCAGGTTTTTCTGTCAGTGAAGTATTTATAGCACGAACTGCCAAATGGAACCCAACCATTATCACAGGCTTCTGAAACTGAAAATAACATTTGATTGTAGTATGCATTATTTTAAAATTTTATCTATATTTATATTGTTTCACTGTATCTAAATCCAAATGGGTTTCATTTGGCACTATAAGCGTAGTGAAAAATTGCCCCTAGTCAATCGCTTGCTTTTACTCCCATAATTCAAGATAGTTGTGTTGAAAAATGTAAAGTGAAATTTCACGGATATCTAACGTAATGATCGGTACATTGATGAGTGTAAAATATCTTACGTGTTACTGCTGTGCAAACAATAAGAAATGCAAACACATATGTTTCCATGTTCAAAACACCTTCTCTATGACTTGAAATCGAATCATATAAGTGAAATACGGAACGATGGTTTGCCCCTTATCTTAACATTTCTGTGTCAGAATATATGCTACCTCATATCCTATATAGTTATGAAACAATGATAACCTATTTTAATATTTCACAACAAGCCACATGGTAATAAACAGATTACGTACGTCTAATTGATATTCTGATATGTTTTAAGGTTTTATCTACATAAGCCATTGCATGAATGTTCTTTTCTTACGGATGTTATTTGAACTTGTGGTCCAATCTTTTTTCTTTCAAAATATATTTACAAATGTTTCTTTCTATATATTTGCATTGTACATATTGTAAAAATTGAAAGGAATAAAATATGTTTAAACTCAAACTATTTTTTTCTTAGACGCCCGTTATATCTCAAAAACAGAATTATTTTTATTTCTCAAAGGCATTTTAGTTTTGACATCATGTTATATTTTCCAAAAATCTTACTGGTTGGCAAATAACCTGAACCATCATGTGCCTGCATTACTTTTTGCAATCAATGCAATTAAAGTGATTTACTATTTTGTATGGACGTCACAATACTAGTATGTTTACATTTTGCTACTTTAATGATCAATAATTTTACATTCAAGGTTACAATCTGCAGGTGATAAGCATTTGAAATGGCTTTAAACTATTTCCATTTTTGAACGTTCTAAAAAACATGTTTGCCCTTTCAAAAGAAGGAAAAATCCATTTCTTTTTGAGGCATATTGTGCCCTTAAAGTCCTACCAAATTGCATCAGATGATTCCATTCTATATTGAATAAAGAAAAACAAAGTCCTGGTTGTCATGTAAACCAAAAGCTAACTGTTAAAGATTCGTTTGCACATATTTGAGAACCAGAGCTTTGATATTTGGTAGGTAGCAGTACCTGGTACTTTTTTATATTTTCGCCTTAAAGCAGTATCGTGTTAAAATAACCAAGCTTACACCAAAACATGTGATTTGCGTCATTGGACAGTAAAACGCTACAACTTTTTTTTCTTATCATGGCACTGAAATGAATTTTGAAATGTAATACACAGGAAAATTACGTTACGTTTTAAACTAAAAAAAGTCTTACAGACAATCACAGTATGACAACATAGTGTCATTAAAAAAAACTTGCATTTTTTAATAAATTTGAAAAGTATTAGGGTAATGTCGCTTCTTAAACATAGTTTATACATTTACTTATTCGAATTAGACATATTCAGGAAGAATCTACTAGATTTCAATAAATTTCTGTAATATAAGTATTTTACCCAAAGAAGCGCATAGTATTGATGTAACAATGATATTTATATTCTAACATCCTTCTCCGTCATATCAGTTAACAAAAAGAAACCGAAAGGGAAAGATTGTTAAAGCGCATATTATTCAGTCAGCAGAATGGGCTCTAACATAAAATGTTTGATTCTAATTTTCGTCGTGAAAGTGTGTATTTCTATAAAGGTGAACAATGGCGGTTATGAGGACGTTTACATCTTCATACGGGAGGGTGTTGAGGAGAATGATAATCTGATCAGAAGAATAAAGGTACGGTTGAAGTTTAACCTGTCTATCAAAATAAATCAGAAACAATATTCCGGAACAAAATAATTAAGAAACATGAAATCTTAAACAATTCTAAATGACAATTACTTTAAATATATTTAGTTAAGCGCGGTTGCGAAACAAGTTCTTTTTAAATTATATCAATCAATGTCGAGTCCGTTTCCTGTAACCAAACAGTACTGGTGTCATCTGAAGAAACATGGTCGAGTAGTGCTCGATCAAATGATTCCTGGATTGAGATGTACGTAATAGTAAAATGCAATCGAAGTTATAATTCGATGTTATTTCAATTACATGAATTCATTGTAAAAAATATATTTGTTGTTGAAAAAAGATCTTTTGTACCCTATATAATCAGACAAACTTATCTTATATAGTTGCTTTTGTAACGAATAGTTTATGAAAAGTAAAGTATTTTAAATGTGAAGAGAACAATAAAAGTAATTTTTGCATTGCAAACGGCATTTACAATGCACGTAAACTACCAAAAAGAGGCAAAGATTGTCGTGTGGCGGCTGTAAAAAGTCTCCCCGTACATTTAATCAATGATGTTATATTTTCGATCCTTGAAGATCGTTCAGCAAGACATTATTGTTGTGCTTGTGGTATTTTTAGTTTCAACTTTTCGGCATTTTCTAGTTGGGTGGTTCCAATATTCCTACTTGAATAATATTGAATCACCCTTAGGAATTGTTGCCTGCTTTTTAAATTTGTCTTTTGACGTCTTATCTGTGATACGCAGGCTTCATAACCTCTGATTCCCTTTCAAAATTCCATTTTATTTAGTTCCGCCCATTGTTTTCTCGTTTAGGGCACACGCTTTTTATTACTTGGGGACCATACGCCGCTTTTCATGGAATGGCACTGAAGTGTCACATTGAAGGTTCCATGATAACCGCCGTATGAACACATCTGCGGATGTTTCTAAATTCAAAATTTTACTATTTCATGTTTAAATGTTGAATTCTGCTTAAGCCGGTGCTAGGGGGCGTGGACGGTAACTTGCACATTCCAGTACTGTCCATGAACAGGCTCAATCAAACCGAGCCTGCAACATTTTCAATTTTGCCGTTGGGCTTTCTTTAGGGATTCTGTATTTATCTATTTTGCGAAATTAACTCTTAGTGCGTTAGCCAGGCAGTAGAAATAAACATTATCGTGATAAACACTGCAACATGAGCCATTAATACTCTTGTTACTATATATATATATATATTAACAAGATTTCCTATGATATCAACTGTGACCGGGGCAGAACATTCATATAATCATAATCGGCCGCTAAACACGAGTACGTGCAGAAACTGAAACAATGACATCACATTTTACGTCATCAACACAACAAGCTGTAAAAGTGAAAGTAGGCTTAAGCACGAATTCTTCGAGGTTTTTAAACGTATTTGGACAAAAAGTTTTGTTGAATTGTAATGAAAACTTCGACAAATTTATCTCGAGAAAAAGAAAATAAAACTTGCTCCTTGATTCTAGTGTACAGTTCGTTGAATACACAAAGGGAGTAACTGTGTGTGCAGAAAAAAAATAATCTCAAGTGAGAGGAATTTAAACAAAAAATATCAACGTAATTTAAAAATAAATGCTACTATTAAATCTATCAAGTGTATAAAGACATTAATACACGCCAAAGACCGGCCAGAAAGTGAAAATCGGCCCTGTAATGAATAATGTTCTGGGGCTGAAGCCCTCGGGGGAATTTTTCATTTTGTGGGTCAATTATCACCTTCCGCCTTTCGGCCCTACTCTGCCGTGTATTTAACTCTTATTAATCGAATAGATGTGAACTTTTACTTTATCTAGATTATTTTTTACTTTTTTAAAATCTTACCACACTTTTTTCAACTTTCATTTTCTTGAAATATTTTAGCTCATCTGGAAGCATCCGACTGTAAATTTGAATGCAAAGACGTGTCATTTTGAGCGTATACTGCAGAAGTAAATACATCTGCGGAAACGTCTGCAGATGCATCTAAAATTTCACATGTATCATGTGTATGCGTTTTTGTGCGCACGTGACGATGATTTAATTCTTTTGTCAATGGAAAAATATATTTTCTATATTTAGGAACAAAACAATTTAGAAATAAAAACTTCAAAACGAACGTATGACTATGACTTGCAAACAAAGTATCAGGAAGAAAAATATTTCAACGTTATATGACACTTTTTAAATTTCTAGCTGGCAAAAATTAGTACATTGTATTTATGAAATTATGTACTGAATAAAATTTCAATGGATTTAAAATTAGGAATGTCGTGTATGATCAATTCGGTGGATAATGTGATGTCCGTAGAAAAGCTAGACAGTGTAGAATAAGAAATATGAACCAGGTCGCAACAGAATACCATCTTATTTGTGTCGATCCTTTTAAGCGAGAGATTTAAATACCATTGATATACCATTATTGACCTCCAGTATATATGTTGGCTTCGATTACACTCGTCCTGTATCTCATCCCCAATCAATTTGTGTTACATTTAAACTCTCTCATTCTGCTTTAAGTTCGCTTCCTGCTTCTTAGACCATATGTGCTGTCAGCAAAGTTTCCGTTTTGCAAGTTTTAACCAAATATATATTGTTTCATCAAATACATATCTTAATCCATTACGTCATGAGCATTTTGTGAAATATGGCCGTTTTCATTGAAAAGCCTGGTGTTACATGTGTTACATGTTCAAATTGCTATAAAACTATAAAAAAAGGCTTCAATACTGTTCAAACGCGGCACAACTGTTGACTTGTAACGGCATACTCAATCTTTATCTTCCTGTTACCATGGAAACGAGGGGACATCTCAAAATTGCCAAAAGAATCACAATATTGCGTTCATTAATCCATCAAAACTGCTGCAACTTCTCCGCTTTTCAAAGTAAGTTTTTCATTACCTTAAAATCGACCTGAGGCTATTTTAAGCCTCTCACAAGTCCAAATTTTCTTGGAAAAGAGGAGGTCTGCTAACTCCAAGCAGAAGGGGCCACATCCCCCTTAATGTGTCTCAAACGAAAAAAAGTGTTTGGGACCTAAATTGGGGATTTTCCATATTTGAGGCCTCAAAAGGAGGTGAAGAGACGTGAAAAGACTTTTATATGAAGTAATGTGCTTAAGTATGACATCAATCACTATTTTGCATTCCACCAGGAACGTTCTTGCGCATTTTTAAACGTTGTTTTTCCTTTCTTCCCCTTATGAGCAATCTGCGTAGGACAAAAAGTGCATTGCCCTGCATAGAAATGTAGTAGAAAATCATAGACAATTCCTAGTTAGTTTAAGATAAAAGTTTAAAAAATCATATAAAATAGCTTTTAACACAAATACAAAAGATACATGTATAGCTTTGCGGCCAAAATTGTCACAAAAGGGCACGGAAAAGACGATTGTTTAAGAATTCCCCTTAAGATCACGGACAAGACACTGAGATAGTTTTTTGTAAAAAAATGTCGAAATAGTATACGAGGGTTGTCCAAAAAATTCGTGCACTGCAGTTATTGTCGTGAGAGTTATTGATAGAAAAACATGAATTATATATCACTTAAAGGGGAAATCTGTCTCAAATAAGAACGCGTAACCGGCATGTCGTGAAAACGAATCGAACCTTGGTAACGTTATACCGGCGCACGAAAAGAATTAGGGTTAGTTTATTACTTTGATGCATTACGGTATTCTTTAAACACAACATACATGTACAAACGGTAATATTCAGGGAAAAGTATGTGTACGTATTCCTAACGTCACTAGAAAATATGACATCATTTGCCCTATTGTAACGGTCGTAAACAAACATTTGTGTATGGTCGTCAATACTGTAATTACGTGAAAATGTCAGTTGCTAAACGTCTGGAAAATACAAATGTAGTCAGCTTAATCTGACGAAAAGAATAACTTCAAAATTATTTGATTAAAAGAAATATAAATATAATTGTACAAAAATGCATGCGTAAAATCATTGCTAAACGGTTATAAAGTACTTTTAATACAAAAAAGCAGGCTAATATCTTGTTCCGGGTTGAAGTATAAGATTATTGTAGCAGTATATGTTTACAATAATAATCTTATGAAAAAATATTTCAGTCAAAATAGCTTTACATCTTTTCTATAAAACTGTTATATAGTGGTTCCTTTAACAAAATAATTATACCAAGATACATGCTGTCATATTAATGCACCCATTTTATACATTTTATTATCGAAACAATACGTTTAACTATAAATTACATTAGGAATTATTATATATGTTAAATGCATTAGCAAAAGTTACATATGAATATGTAGGCAGAATAAAATCTGTATCATTCAAACTTACAATTATCTAAGAACATAAGAACAAATATATTCGAGCGAGGTCTGTTTATGGACAATGAGCTGGTTATTTGATTTTGAAATTGAAAGATTTGTATCTTTTACTAAGGGTTGCTTTAACTCATTCGACAAACTAAATTTGAAATTAACACTTTCGACAGGAGGTATTTACCGAGGCATCAAGCTTAATGCTTACAGCAACAGAAAACAGGTTATACTTAAAAAATATCAGGATAGTAGTTCCAAAATCATGGTCGAAGAAGCCAGAGTACTTGAATATCCCAGCTCCATCCCTGTCTAGGCAATATATTATACTTGATAAAATTATCGCTGGTATGACAACCCCACATGTACGTTCTACAGGCGTTTGTGGAGCAGAGGGAAGTTACATGTTCTTAAGTTCTACAGACTTCATTCTAAAAGGGGGATACACTAGATGGGGGTCACATGGTAAGTTAACCTTTCCACCTTGTTTCCTTCGAGTCGTTTTTTCCTGGTATCGCTGGTGAAAATAAATGTATAGACAAAATAAATTGTAGATTAAATAAACTAATATAGAATACATTGAATGGACATATCTGCTGATATATTTATTTTTTGTTTGTATTACTTGATGTTTTTTTTTCATGACAGTTTCTTTTTTTTTCTTTTTCTTTTCTTTTTTTTGCAGTTTTTTGTTGGCCCTGGCGAATACTAAATGAATGCATCATTGTTAAAAACTTTATATCGTCGAATAATGATTTTCATTTTTATTTATTTTTAATATTTTCATCTAGGTACAGGTAACAGTTTTGTAAAAGTGATATCGTTATTGTTAATGTCTTTTCATCTTTGTTTAAAAGTTCACATTTTTGGAAAACAGTTTACTGTTTTTTAAACCAGTTCACATCTTTCTTTTTTACAAATGCAGTTTGAAGAGCAGTTTAAATCTTTTCAAAGAACTGTTAACATCTGAGTATAAAATTTAACACCTTTGTTAAAAAGTGTTCACATATTTGAATATTTGAAAAAACACAGTTGTTTAACAGTTAGCAACCTAAAAGTTAGATAACGGTTCACATCTAGGTAGATCAGTTTGTATCTTTGTATAATAACAATTTACGTAATTATTATACAACAGTGTGTACATATTTGAAGAATCGCTTTTATGTTTGAATTACAAAAGAAGTCCCTGTATAAATTATTTTAGCCAACGCTGTCGCATTTTGGTTAAGTTTTTGCGTGCAAGTTGGTCTCTCCAAAAGTACTTAAACAAACTTCACACACTTACTAACGAGCATTGAAGGTCACTGCCAAAGGCCCATATATATAACACTGGTTTGAACAGAGATTTGGCCCTTTTAAGACAATTCTATATAATCCAGGCTCTTGTTTGACTATCAAGCACTAAGTTCAGCACCCTGTCCTACTGTCAGCTCTTGTCATATTTGTTCATCAGTTAACAGTTAACATCTTTGTATAAAAGCTAGAGTTTACATCTCTATATAACAGTAAATATTTGTGTCAGCTAGCGAGAAAGGTTGCTGAAAAAAACGAAATCAGAACAAGTATTTTTACAATCCTGTACTTATCGTCAAACGATAAACTTCATATCACAATTAGAATTGCACTAAATTGCCAAAAACAAAAGCTGCAGACATGGCTTGATTGAATCGAATTGTTTTTAATATTACCAGCAAAGGGCACAAAACACCCATTTCCAAAGCAAGACTACAACATCAATTGTTCTGCGAAAATATTTAGATAACAGATTCAAAGTACCAATTAATTGAAATGTTTATGCAGCAACCGGTATAAAAACTTTTTGCATGTGTTTATTACTAGTACTTTTTGAGAAGTGTTATTTCGTACGTGGCGCAATAGCTCAGTTGGTTAGACCCATGGCTGTCAATCCCGAGGTCCCGGGTTCGATCCTGGGTAAAATATGATAAACAAGATCAACAAAGAAAGGCGGCGTTCAATGAACGCAACACTCGTGGGATTTTTCAGTGTTTCTCACCTAACTAGAGGTATACGAGTACTTGTAAGAAATCCAGGTAATCCGCGCATCAGTGCTATACACTCGGGCGTGTAAAAGAACCAAGAGGTCTTTTCAAAAAGAGCTAGGGACTGGTTCCAGGATTCCGTTGTATCTCATAGCTGTCTGTGAAGTGTGTCAAATCTAGAGTCATGACTGCCAAATCGGCCTAAGAAGCTCAGCTAAGCATCCTAGACGATGTTCTGACCTAAATATTACATTACATTTCAATGAAATATTGGTTATATTTTCATAAACATTATACTTTTTGTTCTCTTAAAGATCTCATGGTTTTTATTTAATGTCAGTATTGGATTTTTTTGCAAAGTACAGAGTTGATATTAATTTTGAAACTAAAGATATGCAGTTATTATTTAAGATTTCATACTAATCTTGATACAAAACACGTAACGATAGTACTGTTTTTATATGTTGTAAAGATCACGTGATTGTCCATGAGTGGGCTCATCTAAGATGGGGAGTTTTTGATGAATATCCAATTTCAACAAAATTTTATCAAGGAAGTGGTAAATGGATCCCTGTAAGGTGCAGTATTAAACTTAAATTTTCTTTAAATCTTCCCATGTTTTAGGATACGTTAAACATTTTTTTTAATATTATTACATAATCGGATATACATTCTACGTTTTAATTTATATTATAGTTACATCAGGTATTCATAAACTGTCCCAGTTTTGCTTTCGATTTCTTTTTTGTTGGTGTCAAGCTATCTTGAAACTTGATATCTGTAAATTGTACTATAGTTTGGGGACTTTTCTGTTGAAAATGTGTCAGAGTTAAATCGTATACATATACATGCACAGTGCGTGCGTTAACTGGAGTGCAGGACTTGTATTAGTTACCCGCACTCCTGAGCATGTCCATTGATTGGCTCATTTTTGTTGTGGTTGCTTATTGCGACGGAAGAGAAAGGGAAAGCGACAAAAATATCATATTCAGATGATCGTTCATTTGGTTAATTTTCCTTGGGGTTTCATAATGTGACATGACTATAATACAAAAGAGAAAGAACATCAAAACACTCGGCAATCTGATTTATACTCGGGGGCTACGCCCCTTTGTACAAATCAGATAGCCTCGTGTTTCGATGCTCTTACTTTACCTTGTCATTACTCCTGTAAAGAGATATAAAATATAAGGTATTATTCTAAAATGTCACATTTAGTTATCAATTTTAGTAATAATGTACAATATAAGGTGCATAAAGATTAAATGGCATGCCAGTTTTGACCTGGCAATATGTGTGATCAGTACATCATCATACAAAGTTTGGAGGTCCAAGGTTAATGTAGATTAAATGACCAGTTCCATATCTTGTTATAGCAGGTCCAAGTGACATTGACCTTTTGACCATAAACATTTCTGTTTCAGGACGAATAGCTGTGTTACATTGTATTGAAGTAAACAAACGTTTAACCTTACGCACACATGTTTGTTGAAATTTAAGCTAAAACAAAAACTAATATATCGTTTTATTTGATATTAGGTGCACCACACAAATAAAGGGAAAGATCGGAATCGGAAAAGGATGCTCTTCAAATGACATTGAATGTGACATTTCTAACACGGGTAAAAAAATAAGTGATCGATGTAAGTTTTGTCCGATTGAACAAAAGGATAATAGTGCAAGCTTGATGGGATATTCCTTTTTTAATTCAGTAAGTTCACGAGCATTCTAGATTTGTAAAGGTAAAATAGCCCCATTCGTCCTCAACATCTTGTGAACACTTATCTGTCTTTGCCTACACTGTGATTTTATTAAGAATTGAAGTCCGTTTCAAGTTTTTAAAGTTTTTGAAAATTAAGGCCTCGTAAATATCAAAAAAAGACCTTCCACTTCTAGTTTTTTTTCTTCAGTGTCCTATAGACAGATATAGAGATGTGCTACTATTCTAATATTTTCAAAATTGGCAATGTGTGTAATCTAAAGCTAAATAAGCCCTCAACACGAATGTACAATAAAGTCAATTCCTTATGAGTTAATATTGTATCATGATTATCATAAACATTTACAGAAATAAACTCTTATTTTGTCATGACATTGATTTTTTATCATAGATTAAAAGTTTTTGTGATAAAGATGATTTAACTGTGAATTCTGAGCAAAGGCATAACAGACAAGCACCAAATAGACACAACATTGTTTGCAAATACAAGAGCGTCTGGGAGGTTATGAGAAAACACATTGATTTCAAAGGTTCGTTTTATTTTGATATGACCTAACGTGTTAGACATAAATAATTTATAATTAAGTACTAAGTGAACTTCTTTTGCCTTGTTTTGTCGGGATCTTATAGTTGATATTAATAGTTGTACCTAATTTGAAGACCTTTCTATTGAAATGTGTCAGAGTTAAATCGTTAACCCATACATGCGCAGTGCGTTAACTGTAATGCAGGTATTCGTTACCTTTCAATGCTCTTTTTATTACTTTTCTTTCTTCCTTTAGGACATTGACTTTTGTTATGCTCATTTTGGTTTATATATCTCTACAGGATCCTTTCTGTGTATTACTTATTGAACCTTTTGTTACCATAACAACTGTTTGGTGATCACTTTGTTATTACTGGTTTGTTGAATAGGAAATTGTTGGGGCTTAGGGTGAGGTCTTGTGCACAATTATCCAATTTTAACCCCTAGTAGTTCTTATGCTGCTGACTGTTACAAGGCAATGCCCCTCTAGTTCGCTTTTATATATGCCTTGTTCATTATAAAAATTATTGATCATTTTGATCTTATTATCACATTGTTGTTATCTGTCCACACTGCAATCAGCCTAGAAGATAGTCTTCTTTAAATAACATATATCGACACAAACATATTTTATTATAACATACATCTAAATTCAGTTATCACTTGTAAAAGTTTGTTATGCGATGATTTTCTTAAACGTTTTGTTATAGAAATTCTTCTTAATATGCTTCATAAGATATAGGCATCTATATTTGTTTCAGAGAAAATAGAATTATGTGTTTCTTTGATTCTTTTGAAAACTTTCTTCATACTTTCTTCCGCATTTTAAAAGAAAAGATGGGTACATTTAGTAACGCGAAAAACGAGTTGTTGATTAGCTTATGTTTTGTTGGAACAGACTGGTGTACCGTTATTTAGACTACGTGGAGTTTGAATTTTTAACAATAAATTTTATGTTTTTATTTAGTATTGCCCTTTTTAACATATAGCTTAGTGGTACTTCTCATATAATGTTTTCAACACTCTCATTGTCTCTTTCTTTAATTTAATTTCACAAGCTTGCAATATTTGATTTTTGCAGATGTGTGTTGCCCAAAATCAATAATGTTGTGTTAACTGATGCCTGGTACGATCAGGGTTGAATTTGCTGTGGGAAAGATGCCAAAATGTTGTCTTATCTTGGATAATTTCATTTGCTTTTATTATGTATGTTGCTGTGGGCGAGATGTCACTTTCTTTTTGCGGGCAGAATTAATTGTGTCAATATATACCACACTGTCCCGTCTACATTAAATATAATCAGTTCCTTTCACGAAGCATCCTCTTGATCACAGTTTGGAGTTTTCATGATATCCCAGTCAATGTTTTGAATGTTGTTCTTTAGCAAATTCCTCTGAACAAACGATGTGTTGTTTATAAGTATAAAAATCCAGATAATATTGCCAATACTTGGTGATAATTATACTTTCATTTACTACAATCGAAACTCTTCTACCCGCCCATGTGGAACTGTTTTTATGGACTATGGAAAAGAAAAGTTAATAAATATATTTTGTTTGTAAAATTCGTAATAAAGACGTCCCGTTTCTTACGCGTGCGCTCATCTATCATAAAATCCTGCTAATTATTCCTTATTCACTCCACATCACACAAGTATATGCAACACTTCTTGCACAAAATGTATTGATATGACTTTCAATAGGTATTCATATGCAAACCTGATAATGTATATTTATTTCAGATAACACTTTGTTACCACCTGACACTAATACCGTTCCAAATTTTGAGATTATTCAAAGTTCGAACGAAATACATAGAGTGTTTGTCCTAGATGTTTCTGGAAGTATGAAAGGGGTAAATTTTTTATTCATTTTCCATATTATAAGAATAAGAAACGTGTTACATGTATATATAAACAACGATATTTAAATATTTAAAAACTAACACATACCATACTTAAATACATTTGTAAGTTGATCTTTCTCTTAATTGCCGATAATCTTATCATATAATTTAATATGTTTAATATTATTGATGTGCAATTTTTTTATTTATTTTTTTTTTGGGGGGGGGGGGGCGGTTATTTTAATAAGGAAACATGTTATAAAGTTATAAAGATGCTTCTATATTTATTTCTTTATTTTTTTTATAGAAGCATCTTTATGACTTTATAACATGTTTACTATATACTCGTCCAATAGAACTGAATTCTATTGGACTAGTATATAGTTGTCAAACATATATTGTACAGGGTACTTGCCGATTCTGAAATAGGTTTTGCATCCAAGTACATGTCAAATAGTATCAGTAATGTTTTCAACAATCTAACATGTTCTCTTTGTTTCACATCTTTTGACAAAAATTTGTTACTTCAAGAACAAATTAATATGATCAAACATTTAAACAAGGCAGGATGGAGTATGATATGTATTTAGTACAGATTTGTTGGACTCTGGAAATGAAAACTAAGCAAAATTGATCGGATTGGATCCAATAATATTTATTTTGGAACTTCACTTCATGCAAACGCCGAAAGTACATTGGCAAAGTTTTATAAGATTTGACATGAAGCCTTCAATCAGTTGCCATTAAAACTTTGCTAAATTTTAATCCATTTTGAAATCTATTTATTAATTTCTCAAGTGTGTTTTATGTAAAAAAGTTAAATGTTACTATTAATGCATGTCAGCTTATGTCACCCTCGGTTTATACTACAATTATTGTATAACAATCTTAAACGTTATGTTCGTGATCATTTTGCAGTTAAAGCTCACCATATTACAACAGACATGTAGGTATGTCATTCAAGATGTCATACCACAAGGCAGTTGGCTTGGTATTGTTACCTTCAGCAGCTCGGCTTCAACTACAACATATGTTAAACAGATCAACTCCCAGGCTGATAAAGATGCCCTTAAATCTGGTCTTCCTTCCGTCGCATCAGGTTCAACATGCATAGGGTGTGGTATTGAAGAAGCAATTAAGGTAAAGAAAACACATCTAGTCATATAAAACATGAAATGTGCTTATATATAAAAATTAAGTTTTATTTTTTTCTACTATATTTTCATCATTATACAATTATATGCATGATATTTGCTTACAGATTCTAAAAATAAATCTAGAAAGTGCTGAAAATACTGGAATTGTGCTGATATCCGATGGTCTTAACAACAGAGGGAATATTCGGGCATCAATTCAAAAAGCTGTTAGTGAGAAAGTAATTGTAAACACGATAGCTGTTTCACAAGAGGCGGATAGCATCCTTGCTGAAATTGCACAAGATACTGGTGGCAAACATTACACATACCTTGACAAAGGTTCCATCAGCTTTGCTGCTACGTTCAGTGAATCAATAAAAGACGATCATACCATGTCAGCCAGCCAATTAGAAACAGTTAGTTTATCACGTTCGTTATAATTTCGGTTAAATATGCATTTAATTTCAGTCAAGAAAATACTTTTGTCATAGAGACGTAACTTCAAAGCTTAGTCTGTAAGATTATTTTAATAAAAATGCCTTAAAGAAGGTATCACCTGTTTATCATAGTCATTCATCACTAAAGGATTTATTTTATTCTTTTTTAGTTAGGTAACATTAATCTAAGAATACAATTACCTTTATTTAGTCCGATACTGATCTCAGTAGTGGTTTGGTTCATTTACTGCTGAAATGTGACATAGATGTGTTTAAAACGGTGTAAAGGGCAGATAAATATACACTGTTTCATATAGTTACATATTAAGAATAAGATAACAATTGGTTACGAGTAAATCATAGCAGATGGGAAAATAAGCAAGATATAAAAAGTAACCTTTTAAATTGTACGTAATTACTCATATTTTTTTTTTGTTTAAGCTTGTGTCTGAAAAGATCGATTCAACAAATTCAACAACTCTCAAATTTGACTTTGCAATAGAAGAAAGTATTGGAGCTAATACGACAATTACAGTTATATCGAGATTATACCAAGAACTACACCTTGAAGTTTCTGGACCAAATGGATTCACTCAAGCACTGTCCATGAACGGAACGCAAGTAACGATGCTTATTAATGGTATAGCCGAGGTGAGTAAATATATGTTTTCCTTCTTTGGCTTACAGATTTCACATTTAAATGATATCAATTAGTGAATTTGTTTTTTACATGATAAGAAAATGATAACTGGTCATGAATTACAGAAATATTTTAAGCGATCAAAGGTAAGGTTTGACTCGCTACCTCATTTGATCATACCTATATGTATCATTTGTTTACTTAATTCCATATACAATAAGATATTCCACTATAATCTAAATAACAATGGAATATTAATTTGATATTGGGATATGATTTATAGAAAGACATATGGAAGTTCGATTGGAAGCAATATATCATTTTCTTCGTATTGATTAATTCTTCAACAGTTGTAAATATTTTATGATTTTAATATTATACGTTTATTGTAGGATTATTATCACTGATTCTATAATTTTTAATGGTTTAGATATATTGACATTTCTTTACTGATTTACACTTTTGTTAAACAGAATGCATGGTTGTTAATATGAAGATAAAACATTTTAAGACAATATTGAGATACTATTTTATTCAAATATAGTTGAATGAAAAAAAACTATCATCATTAAAATTTCTTTCAAATTTACTTCAATGTGTTTAACACTTACAATAATATTTTTATTTTGAACTAGGCGGGGTTATATCTATTGACAATATCAATGTCAAACCCCGATCAAACTATTGAATATTATGTAAGTTCAACGCCTACAAAACCTGATATCATCAAAATCTCAACGCAACTTTCTGCGTCAAAGATTGACGTTTCTTCTGGCGACGTCCCGGTAGCGTTTGCTACTGTTACGAAGGGATACTCACAAGTAATCAATGCATCGGTAAAAGCACATATTGAAGCTGATAATAAGCGATGTACATTGTCACTTCTCGATAATGGACATGGTAAGCCAAATGACAATAGCACAATATCTTAAAACGTGTGTGCCATGACCATATAGACCAACATAAAATCATATTTTTGTTTTAATTTTGTGTTTTGTTTTGTTTTGTTTTTTTTTGCTTGAATAGCCTTTTTGTACTAAAAAGTCGCAATTTCATATCATGGAGTTGACAAGTCATAAAGTAGGTATTTCTTAAGAAAACGATTACAACAATTTTTCGACCAACCTTTGTACATTTATAATTAATAGCTCAAGACATTGCTAAGAACTGAATAAATTATAAACTTTAAACACAGTTGTTTGATCATTTAATATTTAGATCCTGATGCATTTGTCGATGATGGTGTTTACTCCGGATACGTGTTTCCTCGTTGTTTAGACTCTGGACGCGTCAACATTAAGGTTTATGCATCTGGACAAAAGGGCATGACTCGAATTTCTAGAAAGGTTATTGGTGCCCCATCAGTGATTGAAGGTATAGATTGTTTGTATTGTAAATGTAACTTTATTTTTTCAAATTTCTTTGGAAACAAATTCTTGTTACAATGTTGTTTGAGTAAAGTATGTCTACAAAGTTGCCTAAAAGAAAGTTGATATGTTTTTTCTCTTATAGCATTATTTGGTATGCACTCAATTAAATAAGTCGCTTTTGAATGATTTTTGAAAAGAATATCTTTGAATATCATATCAAATATCCACATTTTTACAAAGTTATAAAAAAGAAAGGTTCTGTCTTATGAATGAATGAAAAATAAATATAAAAAGTAAACGGCTTTCGAAATAATTTAGAAATTGTGTTAATGTTTTAAGAAGATGAAGATGAGCCCGAACCTTTTGATGAATCATTTCAACGGGTTCAAGTAATGGAAGAATTGTACGTTACTAAAGATATCAATGACGAAGATTTTACTGATGTTGTCGCCCCTGGACGAATTACTGATGTTGGTATATTTCACATTGTAAAAGAAACATCCGTGTACGGAGAGAATAGAAATTTCACAATAAGTTGGACTGCAACCGGTGATGATAGAAATCAGGGACGCGGTATGTTGTCTTAAATGAGTCGGGTTGCTAGTTGATTTTTATGAAAATTATACACATGAACAAAATGTTATAACTCACATATCATGCAGCTTGTACAAGTACGCGGTATATCCATTTAAAGATCCTGTTACACATTTTTTCATGGTTTTATTTCATAGATATGATGCTTCCAATTAAGTTCCAATAAGCATTATTTATAAAGATATTATCGAATTTAACATTTCATGTAAATAAAGGGATGTAATTTGAAATTTATTTTCTATAAAAACTAAGTCAAAATTTTCCAATAGGAAATGAATGCATATAATTTATTGATTTAATATAATGTGCACAAATATTTGCAGTACATATTTTTCATATTCTTTGATGTTTGAAAATTGTTTTATTTGCATGATTATATACATATATTATTTTTTGCAAGTGTAGTATACACACAATAACAATATCAACCACAAAACCTACAGGATCTTTAAATCCACTTATATGGAAAAATTATTCAGGTAATCTTTTTCTGAAATGCCAAATAATTTCAAAATAATGTTTTAAAAATATACATTTCTTCTTTCAGCATCATCTTATATAATGCGGGTTTCTGATGACTTCGATGCGCTTTTAAACAATTTTGATTCAGCTGCCATTTTGAACATGACAAACACAAGTCTTATACCTCAAGAGGCTGGTCAAACGGAAGCAATAAAGTTTGTTGTAGACGCTGAAAAGTCCTACACCGAGACTACATTTTTCGCTATACAAGCAGTTGACGATGCTGGAAACCGAGGGGCAGTGTCAAATATCGTCTCTATAGTAGTTGCAAAAGGATATCGTCTGAAAGCAGAGCCAGGAACATTGAATATTAAAAGTGATGAAATAGCTACAATTGCAGAAAATGACAGTATCGCGGGCATAATTGGGGGCACTGTTGGCGGAACAATATGTGGTCTGATAATATGCGTTATGATTGTGCTATTGAGGAAACGTCTGAGATCAAAGGTAACCATTTGAGAAGAATAATTACGTCACATTTTATATTTATTTTAAAGGAATTTTTGTACTCCTGTTCAATTATATCTGTTACCGTTTATCATATAAAAGACTAAAAGTTTAGCATTGTTCTGGTATAGATGTAGTATGGATGGCAGCCAGCATTATGTACGATAGGTTCTTCTTTCCCAAGCTTTTATTTATATTGATACTTAGAGTTTTATAAATAATTATAATTGTTCATTCGCGTTGTTTTCTTTCAGAGTGTTAAGAATGACATCGCTTAAGAAGAATATGTACGAAGAATGGAGTTTGACACTTGAATGAGGGGAAAAATTAACAATTTTGAAAAAAAAATGGTTCAAATGATTACACAATTCATTTTCCGTCAATATATTAATCATCATTTACATTTAACAAAATTCAAAATCATCATATACAATATCCGCATAATCCTAATTAACAACACAATCATCTTCAGTATAAGAACTTAGTCTACCGTAATTCTATAGCTGTATATCAAATTATCTATCGAATTTTGTCATATCTTTTTCTGTTTCCCAACGGAGACGCAACGGATACGCATATAAAGTTGCCCCTTCATTCGTCAGACTGTGGTCCGGATTATTACTTATCAACCTCTTGTCTAAAGTTTCTAAGGACATTTTCACTGACAGGATTATCAACGTTATAATTTAGTTTAATAGGTTTTTTCTCAACATCAGATGCGTCAATGTCTTTTTATTTTCAACTATTTTGCTTTGCCTTGTCTTAGCAGCATCAAGTACCAGAAATTCAATATTCTTTTTCTTCTTGTTTCTCTACCAGCAGTCAACAGCAGTAAAGAATACATTACTTATTTACTGTTCAATATAAAAATTAGAATAATATAGTTACGTTCACGGTATTTCAGTTTGATTCCTTTCGAACGAGGTATTCATCAATTTTCTCTGATTGTGATATACAATACACCTTTCTTGCTCTCAATACTGAATAAATACCACCGTTATTTGTTATGCAAATATCACTATACTATCTAAGACTTCATTCACAGGAAAAACGCACGTGGTGACTTTGATATTCCTATCATTTGTTAATAGTGGTATACAATCGCACACCTTCATGGGGTTTTCAAAGCCTTATAATAATATTAAGTTAAAACGTAGGTATTTGTGGTCAAATAATATTGAAAGAGATGTATTAATTGCAGTTAAATAATTATAGCTGTACATTATCGACATTATTCCATTAAAGACAATCTTAGAGATCTTTGTACAACACTGTAAAAAGATTATTATGATTCTGGAAAGTTTTCCTCAAGTGAGATGTTAATGGCTATGAATGAATAAAGTAACATTTTCATGTTATAACATCATTTTATGCTAAGAGATTTTATCATTGTACATGTTTTAAGTGTTTTTTAACTTATCAATGGAAGGGATATCTTTAATGCATGATCGTTTTAGGCTTCATATTGAATTTTTGTGTAAAACATTGGGCATACTTTTTAAAAAAAAATTTGCAAGAACACTTACCGAAGGTGTGACATCTTGAAAATTAGATTCCTTCAACTTTCTCCGCCTACTATGGAATATAGTGCGTAGCATACTGGCTGCGAAAGTATTTTCATCACTGTATGATTTCCATGTTTTACATACAATATGAATAAAAGCCGATACCTGTTTACAGTATAAAATGTTTTCAATATTGTGTTGTTACAATATAACTAATATATGTTATCCGCAACTCGGCAAAATCTGTGTTTTTTCATTTTAATCTGTTTGTACAAACAAAATTTTCCTCTATAGATTCACGGTGCTACTCGTCACAACCTGTCGCGCTTATGATCGAAACTGTAACTGTAACGGTTTGTTTCTACCTACGGATTTACTAGAAAAAAAAACCCAAAGTATTCCGAATTTCGGAGTGAATGAATTATTGAGAACTGGTTTCATAATCTATACACAATACACGACTGTATGATTCATATTTTGTAACAGATATCCGACAGTGCAGATAACAAAACAGACATTTGATTGACGAAGAAAAATTTCAGATTATGTATTTCATTTAGTATCAGACAAAAAGATATACTTACTTCATTCATGAGAAAATATTATGATCATAGAAATGTATTGCAATCTATGAATTCTTTACTGAATATGTCAATTTGAATGAAAAAAATAAATAAAAAAATTTAAGGGAAGATGTGTTTCCTATTACAGGTCAAGTAAAGTTGGTATTTTCTTTATAATATCTGCCATTTTTAATGACACTTTATATTCATATTGTGTCCACCTATAGTATGCAGAATTTTAAACAATATTTACTTTGTGTGAAGTCAAAAACATGCATATTTCATATTTATCAATATACTGTGTAGCAAAAATCAATATTTTCTAATATCAAATTTGAGCATAGTATACCATTACGTTTTATTATGGCAGTACATTGAAAAGATATAAACGTTTTTTTTTCCTACGCTAAAGGTTTTACAAGAAATGTTACCGGAATAAGTTAAAGACAAAGCAGAACTTTGAACTTACTTCTAATAGGAGTGGTGTTCGTTTAATCACTCTTTGTTTTCATAAATAATAAAACAATGCAAAGGTATTTTGCTTTTTATTATTCTATTTTAGGCTAGATCTCATAACTCTTATCAGGTAAAAACTGGTTACCTTTCGTATGAGCAAAGCAAATAAGAAAATTATATCCATATTAACTTTTAACATAAAATGAAATGTAATTGTATCTTAAGTTTGAATTTTATTGTTAAAAGGCACATTAATCCACAGGAATGAATGAATTTTTATTTCTTAAGAAAGGGCAAATATGGAAAAAAGAAAGAGTAACGAAACTTCAGATATTGCCGAGTGTTTTAGTCAACATAAAAACACGTTCCCTATTTTCACAATATTGAGCCCCAGAAAAAAAATAATCAATGAAAGAGCATCTGAATATGGTGTTTTCTCTGCCGTCACAATAAGTCGACCCCTGCAAAAATGAGCAAATAAATGGGCATGCTCTGGAGTGCGGGACTAATATATGTATATGCATACATTTAAACGCTGAGAAAGTTCCCCAGACTATCATTCAAAATTTTTATAATGTTTAGATAATGTTTGCAAGATGCTTGTTACTTGAAAAAAGTAGCGATAAAAAGTGCAATAATTTGTCATAAAAGTAGCAAAATGTAAACAAAGTAATAATTTGACTTCCATAAGAAATAATAAATCACCACTAAACTAAATTGGCAAAAAGCAACAGAAGAAAAGGATTTAGGTAATTGTCAATGAGTCACTTTTTGGAAGCAATAAAATTACACCAAAATTTAAAAAAAAATGAATTATAAAATTAAAAGCATTTTCTATTATAGTAGGCCTTTTATTTGTATGCATGTCTTCAAAGTGAAATTTAAAAAAAAACAATGCTGTTCCTCTCTCTCTAAATTGCAGCAATTACATGCACAAATAACTTCACCATTTCAACTAATACACACACTCTATCGAGAGACATACTTTCAACATTCACAAACATTTTTACGAATACAAAACTTTAAATAAAAACAACATATAAAAATGTATAATAATCTTAAAGTACATAAAGCTATTGATCTTTTGCCGAAATGATAACTTTAATTGAGAAAAAGAATACTTCCACAAATCCTCGCATGAAAGCAGAGCAGTTTTAAATTTGATATATATATATATATATGCTTGAAGAAATTTGCACTGAATGAGAACATATATGTCAGTAAAGTAGCAAAATGTAAAGTATTATAACTTCCATACAAAATACTTAATCACTATAACTACACTAATTGCAAAAAAGCAACAAAAGTAAATAATGGCCAGTGAGGACCTGTTTAGAAACTTTAACAGGACAACAAAACCGAAGAAATGTTGTTAATTTGCCACGATGATGTAGAACAAAATGCTATTGATAATGATGATAAAAAATAATATTGGTAGTGATGATGTAGAAAATGCTGATGTAGAAAATATTTTTGAAAATGTAGAAAATGTTATTGATAATGATGAAGCAAATGCTAATGATAATGATGGTGTAGAAAATTCTGATGTAGAAAAATGTAATTGAAAATGCTGATGTAGAAAATAAATTTGGTAACGATGATTTAGAAAATGCAATTTGTGATGATGATGTAGATAATATGATTGATGATTATAATGATGATAATGAACACAATGATGATTCTTTTGCTTTACGTCCCAATCAATTCAATAAATCAGATTAAGTTGCATGAAATAAACATTATTATTATTACAACAGTCAACGCCCGAAAACATACGGCATGTGAAGTCACATCATCTTTAATGTCCAATGTTCCTTCCTCACCAAAAGCACGATATCCCTTAGCAACGACTATGGAAACAATGTTTGAGACGCTCCCTTTATTTCCGGTTTCATCAACAGCTTGTAAGGCAAAGAAAGCCGTTCCAGTATAAGATTCCTCAGCGTCAACAATAATCTTGAGAACTTCGATGTCGCCTGACGGTTTCGGAATAAGTGAATTATTTCCCACTTCAAGTATAGGAGCGTTATCAAAGTCATGAAGTAAGACGTCAAAATCGTCGGCAATCCTAAAAATATAGCTTGAAGCTGCAAGGAAAGAATATCCGCTATCAACAAATGTTCATTTACAGTTAATTACATTTCATCATGTATGTTTATGATATGATTAACATTTATACTTTCATTCCAAAAAAGCTATTGGACACAACATCAGGCATATTAAGACAATTGTTAAAATCTGCTGAATGAAGATTTGAATTTTAGACATTCTGAAATGTCAAATTATTTGAACTTCGATTTATACGTATGTCCGGATAACAGTGAACCACAATTGCATAGATTGGACCTCGTGGTACACATATTTTAGGTTAGAGTTGAACTGGAAAAAAAAATTAAAAACCCATGACTAAATCTTTTAGTGTTTGGCAAGTACGCTTTGGGACGTAATTATCATGCATTCCATATTTTAAAAACGAAATGTCATTTGTGCAACTAAAACATATTATCGGGGCAGTTGTGTCAGTTTCTCAACAGGACAATTGCATTTTATAGTTTATTGAGAAAATTGCAAGATATTTTAAACATTTGATCTTGACAAACCTCTGCCAATGGTTTTATCATCACCAGTTGCTGTCCAAGATATTGTGAAATTTCTTCTCTCTGAGTTACTAAATTCTTTTGATTGGATATGGTGAATGTTGACGTCAGTAATTTTTCCTGGTGCTATCAAATCTTCTGATTTCGTAATATTTTTGTAGTTAGTCACATTCAACTGTTCAAGAATTTGTACACGCTGAAAGGAGCTGTCATAGACTTCAGTGCGCTCATCAATATCACCTGAAAGTTTGTATATTTGTTTGTTTGTTTAATTTGTTCTTTTCTTTCACTATATCATGTTTGTTATCGTACCTATACATAAGACAGACGCTTTTATCATAACATAAACTGCACCTCAAGTATTCATCAATATTTAATATAACGTAATCTTTTAGTCCAGGTGTGAAAAACTGTGAATAATTACTTTGATGTTTTAATTCAATAGATATTACATGTATTGAAACAACTAGAATAGTTTTTGGGGCCCGACCTTGTTTTAGTAGCTTGTTAATAGCATGTACAAAGTAGAATTGTTGATATCCACTTCTAAAGGATATGGAAATAGTCTCTGTCTGTCCGTCCGTCCGTCCGTCTCATATTTGTGTCCGGAGAAAATAGGATTTTAGTGGACAAGGACGCAGTCACCTAGACCCTTGACAAATTACTTCATAATCAATTGAGGTCAACTACTAGTCATTATCAAACTTTACAACAAATATAAGGTCTTTTAAGCTTTTATATAAACTATGGTTACCTTAATCTTACCTTTCAATTTTTGATCTCAAAATCGAGAGGGGTCGTCTGATGTTCTAGTCATGATAAACCTCATAATAATGTTTTAGGATTGTTGGCTAAAACCTTAAGTAATTTTTACCGTGAGAACCTGATCTTTTGTCCTGAAGCAATTGTACAGACGGTGTGTGACTTTATATTTGTCACTAACATACATTAATTTTGTGTGGATTTTAAAGGGGGTGCAACTTTACATATTCTGTTAGACAAGCACAATACCTTCTTCTGGATTCGGAGCTCCTGTGACACTCTGTAGAACTTGGGTCTGTCCTTGCGCTCCTTTTACATCAACTTTCACGTTAACTCGACCAGAATGTAAGCAAGTGGGAAATATATAGCCAGAATAAATTCCATCGTCAATAAATGAATCTGGGTCTGAAATGTTGTCAAAAGAATATAACAAGTCAGATGAATAAACTAGAGAAATTTTTAATGTATGGGAACTCATGATAAATATGATATACATGGCCAATAGTGATTTATGCGATTTCATAGCGTGATACTTCCTGTTCTCCTCTACTCTTTATATCAAACTACCTAAACTTAAAATTGTTCGTGATGTCTGTTTTATATTTTCAGCAGTTCTAGACGATTTTGAATGATACAAAGAGATAACATCAAGTCCAATCATTCTGTATTTAGTCCAGGAACTGATATCATTGATACATAAATTTCTAAGGAGTAACACGGAAACTGTGATTAATGATTTGTCTGGCATTTCGTTGTTTATGCATGTTTCAGCTCTTTGTTTTATCTGACGTTCATATCATACAAGTATTTGCGTTAACGTTTTAGAACATTTTTCGCAAATACTATAGAAAATCACGAACACTGGTGATTGCTCTATAAGTGTCAATATTTTTGAGAAGTAAGAAAAGCTCTGAGCAGTTATGTCGTCTTTAACGTTGTTTAAAATATGTCCTCATTTTCCAAGAGCCTTTACTTTTCTTGAACGTACTTCGAGGAGAAAATATGCATATGCTGAAGTCGGCTTGGTTCAAAACTAGGTTATAAATGACAAAATAGAAAGAATATTCCTAACCTATCCCGTCATCCATTAGTGGCACGTCGCAGATATGATTACCCGTCTCAACATGGGCTGTAACTGTTGCATTAAGAATTGGTAAATACCCTTTTGAGACTTCAGAGAAAATAATTGGTAGATCGCCAGTAGATAAATCAATATTATTGGTTGAGAGCAATGACGTCACTCTGACTATGTCGTCACTGGTAGCATCTGATTTTGCGAAATACTCTACAGTTCTGGGCATCGTTCCGGTCGTGACTATCATTTCATATTCTCCGGCCTGTTGATAAGACAAATAACGGCGTGATAGAATACCAAAAGGACATTCTGGCAAAAATATAAGAAACTAAATTCAAATCCATTAAGAACTGTTTTGAAAGTGACCGGTGAAATTGATATTTCCCAAACCACTGTCTAACCCGAACTATCGGGTATTTTTTCATTTAACTACTGGATAAATGAAAGCTTTCGACTTTGTTCTGTTATATATTGGAAGATTTATGTGCTCAAAGGTTCTTGTCATCTACTTTTATCAGTTATCTACTTAAACGGCCGTACACAAAAATGAGTACAACATCACCTACTTGTGCAGTACCCGGAATTGATAAAGTTGTAATGCTTCCATGACTTTCAATAAACTGATTATAGTCGTTCGGGCCGGTCAGTTCAAATTTGACGTCTGTGTCCGTGGGCGTTATGAAGGAAAACGTTGTGTCACCACCCAATCCTTTTTCTAGAGCAAACGATATATTATGTTGGTTTGTATTCACCGAATTCATTTTATGTGCCATCAACTGAAAAAGACGTTCATTTAATGACAGAATATAAGGGTTAAAGAAGTATGAAATCAATATGTAATTCAATAGGTCCAAATCTTAAAATAATTAGTTTACTATCATTTTAAGTATATGTTAACTAGTGTTCATTTGTGCAGATCTACAGATATCAGAAACTTTGACGGGAGCGATAGCGACAGGAGAATGTTTCTGATTTCTGTAGAACAGCTACGGATGAATACTAACATCAAGTGTCAAGATTTATTTGGCTTCATAACATTCACTTTATTACGTCACAACTCTTTTATGTACGCAGTTCGTACTATGAAAAATATAAGGCGACTATGAATTGAATTTGATATAGTATCGACTTTTATTCTTCTATGAATATATACAAACAGAATTTTTAAGAAATACAGCGTTTTCATTGGATAACAAATGCTGGACACTAATTATTTTGATTTGTCCTTTTTGAAAAATTCATTAAAATATAAACCGTCTGAATATATCATGATTTTACAATTGGTGAGCATTCGTTTTATATCTATTCAGGTTGATGAATTAAGTTTGCACTTTTATTAAAATTACAACCAGGTAGAAGCATATTATTTGGAATTGCTTATTTGTACCAATACAAGGCGTTTACTTGTTTTGTTTTAAAATATTCATATAATTTCAAAATAAATAAACACTACAAAAATGACAAGCATAAATCCAAATAAAAGCTGATAAATGAGTCGGTATCGCGTTTGATAATACCAAGTAGCAAGTACGAACAATGCGGTAACATGTAGAAACAAGCAGGCATTATAAGATACCAAGTAGCAAGAAACACGTACAATGAGATAACGAATAGCAACAAGAACGTACATTGTGCAATGAGATAGCAATTAGCAACAAGCACGTACAATGAGGTAACAGGTAGCAACAATCAGCTAAATGAGGTACAAGCAGCAATAGGCACGTAAAATAAGTTAACAAGTATGGAGAAGAACGTAGAATGAGGTAACAAGAACGTACAATTAGGAAACAGATAGTAATAAGCACGTATAATGAAAGGATTCGAAATCGTCTTTACATACTAGAGTTATTACATGCTTTTTTGCAATTTCTTACCATGACATTTTTATTTCTTGCAGAAGTTAAACCACCGGAAAGAGTTTCAGAAAATGCTCCAAAAAGACTAATACCTCCATTGTCAAAATACATGTAATATTTGCCGCCAGTTTCTCGTGCGATATCACCAAGTAAATGATCCGCTTGTTGAGATATAGCTATAGTGTGAACAGTTATTTTGGCACTTATCACTTCATGTCTGGCAACATCAACATGGACTTTAACATCGGGTTTATCTGATGTATCTTTTCCGTCAGATATCAGAATAATTTCACCTTGAGAAACAGTTCCGAGCTTCTTTGTTAAAAGCTAGTTTGAAAATATAAAGAAAAAATCTAGTTTATACTTGTGTGCGTTTTTGTTTCTTGTTACTGAAAAGTAAAAACATTTAGACATGTAGATTCTATAAACGCTTTTAAACATTTTGATGGAATGTCATGCTAACCACAACTCAATAGGAAGTCACGTCTGGTCCATACCGTTTAGAACACATGTGTTACACCGGAAACAAAATAAGCGTTATTCAAACTGGTATACTGTCACGCATCAAGATAGTAGTCTGCAACTTTTTTTTAAAACATTACCTTTTTCAAATGTGAGCAATGGAGTTATATATTGTCATGATCCGTTGGGCGATGAATTCTCACAGGGTAGGAAAATGTGAAGCGTGGCTCGGACACGAAGCCGGGAAACTTGCAATTCGCTCTAGCTACATAGCTATTCTTCCTTATGCACACGTTATTGCATATTTTGTGAACAGTTCTACAGTGTGACACATTAATGAAGTGTATCATATTATTCCCGTATTAGTATGAACAGCTTTACTTTTGCGCAAGTGATAACAACATTATAATAATTGTTCTCTCGTTATGACATATTGTGTGGCATATCATTTCTTATTTTTCTAGCGACAATTGTTTCACTATAGAATAGAAAAAGTTGTTATTTTCAACGCAATGTTCAATTTATTTACGTTCGTCTGATGTTTTAATAAATAACTTTAAAACACGATGGGCGAATTAAAAAACGTCTATATGCTATATAAATCTTGCCTCAATTCTTCATTTATTTATTGATTAAGCAATATAATTCTTTTATTGCTTGCTCATGTCCCAAAGACGACTCCATTAAAGTCGTATTGCACGGCCGTGAACATAAGTTGACGTCACGTCATTTACGTTGTACAAAAATTGCGTAAAGATGAGCTTAATGTTTGAGATAAACCATGAGCGCGTCAATGTAAAAGCATAATCCTTTAAAAAGTTCTTATATTTTATGTATGTGATATAAAGAATATAATATTTATAGAGCTTCATTTCTCAATTATTTTGGAGTTCAACGTCAAAGGCTTGCATTACTTTATTTCTTGAACTCGTTAAATAATTTTTGTATTGAGCCAACAATCATTCAATATCCTCAATATATCATACAAACATCTTACAAACACCAGATAATTAGCCATATATAATAATGGCATACACTCAAAACAATAATATACCCTTTACTTCCCTGTAAAATTGAAATTATAAATAGTAAAGCATTTATAAAATAATTGTTTGTTTCTTTTGTTTCGTTTTACGGCGCAACAACATAATTTAGACCAAATGGCGCCGAAACAGGTAATATAATTTTGGCAAACATCGGGTGTCACAATTTTGCAGTAACACCAGGGTTCAAAATCCCCTCACCTGCTTTTAGCCAAGTGATGCATTTACTCAGGTGATTCGCACCCATTTAGTCGCCCCTTACGATCACGCAATGATAAATGGTGGCTGCAACTCTGTTGTCTCAACCCTTCAAGGCAACCCTTAGGCCACAAGGGGCTTAACATGTTTGAAAACATACCTTTTTTGCTTCTATCATACCACATCCCATACATGTCCATCCTGAAACTGAATCAGGGATAACGCTTATTAAATTTTTGCGGTCTTGCTGAGTGTTGATCTCAGTCAGGTCTTTCTTTACTGTAGCTGTTGTACCAAATGAAACAATTCCAACCCAGCTTCCTTTTAAGATCAACTGCTGTATTACATTTTCCATGGCATGTCTAAGGGTCTCGAGTCTTTCACCCTAATAATAAAATATTGGATAAATATAAAGATATAAAATAGCTTGACATTAACTTGAAAATAGAAAACAGAATGGAAATAGATATGAAATATGCAAAATAGCAGTTTATAATCAGTGGTGTTTTTTTATTCTAAACAAACCGATCATAAAAATTAATATTTCTATTGTTAATTTGTTATTTTATGCATGAGCTTATCTAGTATTTACTCGTCAAGTTTTCAAAATACAGAAGCTCTCGGGAATAGAAAGAGGATGTAGGATTACCGGGCAAATCTAAAAGTGATGAGCAAAATGTTAGTCAAACCTTGAAGTTGAGACAGGATCATGCAGTCAAATTAAATTAATTAGAGCATTTTGTGGCAAAAGTTTCAAGTCATGAGAGGTTTATGAAGCAAACTTTTAAGTCATGAGAGGATTATGAAGCAAAATTTTAAGTCATGAAAGGCTTCTGAAGCAAACCATAATGTCATGAGAGGTTTATGAAGCAAACTTTCAAGTCATGGGAGGATTATGAAGAAAACTTATGAGTCATGAAAGGCTGATGAAGCAAACCTTAATGTCTTGAGAGGTTTATAAAGCAAACTTTTAAGTCATGAGAGGTTTATGAAGCAAATTTTTAAGTCATAAGAGGATTATGAATCAAACTTTTAAGTCATGAGAGGATTTCGAAGCATTAAGTCAGGAGAGTTTTATGAAGCAAACTTTTAAGTCAAGAGAGGATTATGAAGCAATCTTTCAAGACATGAGAGGATTATGTATCAAACTTTCTAGTCATGAAAGGCTTATGAAGCAAACATTAAAGTCATGAGAGGATTATGAATCAAACTTTTAAATTACTAAGAGGATTATGAAGCAACAATTCACTTGAGTATAATGAAGCATAAAGTTAGGAAAGATTTATGAAGCAAACTTTCAAGTCATTGAGGATTATGAAGCAAACTTTTAAGTCATGAATAGCTTATAAAGCAAACATTAAAGTCATGACAGGATTATGAAGCATTAAGTCATGAGACGATAATGAAGCATAAAGTCATGAGAGGTATATGAAGCAAACTTTTAAGTATTGAGAGGTTTATGAATCAAACTTTCAATTCATGAGAGGATTATGAATCGATTTTTTAAGTCATGGGAGAATTATGAATCAAACTTTCAAGTGTTGAGAGGTTTATAAAGCAAACTTTTAAGTCATAAGAGGATTATGAATCAATTTTTTAAGTCATGAGAGGATTATGAATCAAACTTTCAAGTCATGAGAGGTTTATGAAGCAAACTTTTAAGTCATAAGAGGATTATGAATCAAACTTTCAAGTCATGAGAGGTTTATGAAGCAAACTTTTAAGGAAGAGGATTATGAATCAATTTTTTAAGTCATGAGAGGATCATGAATCAAACTTTCAAGTAACGAGATGTTTATAAAGCAAACTTTTAAGTCATGAGAGGTTTATGAAGCAAAGTTTCAAGTCATGAGAGGATTATGAATAAAACTTTTACTAAGAGGATTATGAAGCAACAATTCATAAAAAGGCAAACCTTAATGTAATGAGAGACCATGAAGCTTATCTTTAAGTGTAAGGTTTTGATACATGGAGAGGATTTGCGTTTTGAAAGGATTAGAAAGGCAAACTTTTAGAATGAGAGTGCAGTAAACAAGTCTTAAACATTAAAAAAAACATTGCTTAAAATGAAGATGTATAGTAATATATAAATACGAAAAGCAATAAAACGTGAATCACTGTACAAAATTTCTATCCACTGGGCAATCAGATAGTAATTTTATATAATGTATTTGTAACAAAATAGACAGGTTCGAAAAATATTTTAACATAAATATTAGTTTTGCGCATATTGTTCATCTAATCTCCATTAAATTTTCTACATACAATAAGTAATAGAAAAATGAAATGCATTCAAAAGTAGATATTCATCAATGTAAAATGTAAAACAAACTAAACTGTTCATCTTTCCTTTAACATAAGTATGTTTTACCTTTTTCAGCATGAAAATACATAAAGTCTAAGATTAATTTAAATGCAAATAAATCTGCTTTTTTGTCAGAAATTCAAAAAAAAATCTACAAATTACCTGCATACTTCCCGATGTATCTAATACAAACACACGATAACTCGTAGTTTCTTGTATTATCTCGAATTCTGGGATTGTATTTGTTGACACAGGGAGTTGTTTAGCGTCTATAGGAATAAATAAAGTTAATTATAAACCAGGAATATATTGAAGAAGTGTAGCTTTAAGATAACACTATCTCATTATAAAACTGCAAGTTTTTGGGTCAGTAATAATTTCAAGCAAATAAGAAAAGATTTAATGATTAAAAAGGCTCAAGAAGTGCGATATTTGAGCGACTGTAGATAACTGTCTTGTTAACATTCTTTTCATCTGCATTGACTTCACGTTTATCCGAAATAGACTGTCACCAACTTTCAAAATTAAGCATTCCCATTGGGCATTAATTGCTACAACTGATTTTAACAAAACCACGTTTTATTAGCAAAAAGTTAAGGGTAAAGTAGATTATATACACCGGAACTATATTTAAATATGTGTTAAATATATATTGTTTGTGTTAAGAGTGGTCTGCCTCTCACTCAAATTATGGTTTGAACCCAGATCGGGTCATACCATGTTTCTATCAAATTAGGACACAGTATGTGGGTTCAGGAAGCGACCCGAAAAGTGATTAATGTTGCAAGAACTTGTTTCGCTATTGAGCTTAAATAAATAATTATGTTTTTACAACACATTGTAGATTGAGTGGTCAGGCTGCAATGATTAAGGCTTCAGTTGAAATCATGTGACATTCATGTATAGAGAACGTCTACAACTGAACAAGGTAAAAGTCGGTCTAATATATACGTTTGATATATTGTTCATAAAGTAATGTTCTACAGATTCACAAAATTGTGTGTGAGGATAAAATTTCAAACTTTGATAGACGTCATGTTACTAAAATGCTACCTCAAGATATTATTTGTTTTTTCTTTTATCTTCTGATATTAAATGCATATTTTGGCTACAAAAACTAGTAAACATTTTATTCTTTAGAACGGACGGAACAATGAGCCTTTAAAGGCCAATTATGCCTCAGAAACAAATACTTTTATTTTTTTAGTCATTTAGAAATAGCAAAGAGAATGATTATCTTTTTGAAACCATAAATAAAAGTACACCAAATTAACAATCTTTTGAGTAATAAAAGCAAATGCATTTTTAGGCACAATGGAACTTTAATCGCCCAAAATTAATGCTGTTCTTAACTTTTTTTATTTTATAGATTTATTTTATGTGATAAATTAAGAAATATGTTATGTTTTTCATACTTTGAAAATCGCTATGGGTTTTCATAACTTCCCACGCACTTTTATAATTGCATTGTTTGTTATGAAAAGTTGGAGCATGTCTTTGGTGCCGGTGTTCCTTTTGCACTTCTTCGATATTCTGGTCACAAAACTCCGATAGCTAAAATATATAAAACGTGAACATGTTTTGAGTTTTTCCAATGTTTTGAAATTTAAGATCGTCTGTCTATAATGAAACTAATACATCAGTCCCCGCCTTACGACCACAACGTTTTCACGACTAATTCGCTATTATGACCAATTAACGGATTTTTTCTTCTTGTTCCACTGGTTCCAGTGTCATTTTAACTTGTTTTTATCAAGAAAAATAATACAAGTCAATAAACTGATAGATTATTGGAAAGTGATTTATCTTTTACTATATGGAAGTAATATAACATATCAACTTGAAGTCAAGTCTGGTTTTTGATAAAATAATTATCCTAATATTATGTTAATTGTTACTTAATACCATTAAATATTTCGACTGCATTCATCAAAAGTCTACATTATTTAATATATGTTTGTATATTATGTTATTTATATTAGAACCGAATCAAGAAAATTTTAACATTGTTTATCTAAGCATCGTGTGATCTTAATTGTGTATAAATGATATTTTAAATTTCATGCATCAATTTGCCAAGGTAATAGCTTTTAAATAACAACATTTAAACCTTTAATATTTCGTATCGGATTGGCACATGTATATGGTACAAATACAAAAACAGATGTGTAAAGTTGCCTTGATTCTGAAAGTGAAATTTAAGGTTTCAATCTATGGTAATAGCGAAACAGTCATTTGCGTAGAAGCCAAGATTGGTTCTGTGGAATGGATCATTTTAATTCTTAATTCTTGAATAAATCGTTCGTAAAAACAATTAGTGCTGTGTTTTAATCTAATTCAGCAACTAGACATGTAAATGAAGATTAATGCATTTTAAATATTTGAATTTTTACCTTATTATATAATTAATATCATCAAACTAGCGCGATTATTTGTTTTGGATTTAGGTTTTGAAAACATCATTTGTGCATGGTTTTGCTAGAATTCAGTAAGTACATTTACTAGGATTGTGTTACGTGGTTTTAACCACAAACTTCTTTGATGTGTAGTGCACCTATAAAACAATTACACGCAAAAACTTTTGTTTAGGGAAAAAGCATCAGGCACGAATAGTTTGTTTTCTTCTAAAAAGAACAAGAGCAAACAGTAGTTTTATAGCAATTTAATAATTAATTTAATTTAATTAATTATTTAATAGCATGATAGATGCTTATCAAACAAAAAAAGTGGCGCAGAATATTAGATTATTTGATGTTAAAGAAGTAAAATGTAAACAAAATAGTATTTTGACTTCCAAACAAAATACTAAATCACTTCAAGTATACTTATTACCAAAAGGTAACAGAAGTAAAATATAAATCAGTCAATTGGGCAATGAGTGACTTTTCGAAAATTTTAAGAGGACACCAAAATAAAAGATTTCCTGGAAATAAAAATAAAAGCATTTCTGAGGCACAATGGACCTTAAAAGCTGAATGTCTCCAGATGGGCCAAGAATAGTTAATGAAAATAAAACTTGAGAAATATGCAAACTTTTATGAAAAGTAAAAATATTTAAAATTAAAGGAAAAGCTGCATGCTAATAATTTTGCAATATTAATCACATTTCTACTGCATGAGTGACTGACTTAGTAAGCCTATAATTGTCTATTTTGACTTATTTTTGGTAATTTTCGTTGATTAAAAATGACAACGCCAATGTGTAAATCGCTTTCTTTTTTCACATGACAATATTTTACTTTTAAATACATTTTTTCAAATGTTCATGAAAATTAGCATGAATCTGACGGTATGCTGTTTAATATAATCATTGCGCATATGATAAACATTTTGTGTCAGATAAAAAGCTTGTATTTTCTGTATCAAATATCACAACTAACTAACATCAACAGATTTATTCCGCATCAAATAAATACTCGTACACATTCATAGATGACAATGATATCAAATATATATCAGCCGCGTCATGACAAAACCAACATTATGGGTATGCGACCAGCATGGACCCAGACCAGCCTGCGCATCTGAGCAGTCTGATCCATTCGCTATCAGTTTCTCTACTTGTAATAGAATTGGTACGCGAACAAAATGGACCCTGATCAGACTGCGCGGATGCGCAGGCTGGTCTGGATCCATGCTGGTAGCAAACGCACTATTTTGGTTTTGTCGTGACACGGCTCATATATTGAAAGTGGTAGTATATGTTTAGCAATATGTAACAGGTTTAACAGAGAAATAGATATGTTTTCATTTATTCTTTCCAGTTCTTCAAATTAAAGCAAACGAATAATTTATTTCAACTAAACAAAACGTAGGTTGTTTTGAAATTAACTTCAATATCAATGAAATAGTAATACAATGTACAAACTACATACCTTGTTGGGTTCCATTTGCCATTTGCCTGATAGAATTGTTTTCCTTTCATTGGTAATTCATTGAACAATCCCCATCTGAGATGACCCCACTCATGAACGACCACGTTACCTATTGGAATACAATCAAAACATAATTTCTTAATGGTACATAATGCATCAGAATCGATGTTTTTTCTTTTACAAAAAGGGCAAACATCACTTTTCGAGCGATAAAATGATGGTTTTAGAGCGTGTTAGGCCTGTTAGAAGTTTATCACCTGTTGAAATTTTGTAGCGCAGACTATTAAATTATTTGTTATAAAAGTATCATAAAATGTAAACAAAGTAGTATTTCGACTTTCATACAAAATACCAGATCAATTCAAGTGTACTAATTGCCAAAAGGCAACAGAAGCAAAAGAGGGTTCATGTAATCATTAACTTTTTGGAAGCTTTTACAGGACAACAAAAAAAGCTTTCGGAAAATAAAAATATTTCTGATGCACTTTCAGCCTTTAATGTCGTGTTTTTTATTGGTGACAGAGATAAATCACCTTTTTACCAGTTGAGTAGGAAATTGGTTAAATTCCCAAAAGACCTCTGATTTTTCGTTTTGGAGAAAGAGCTAACCAATATTTTATGTTTTGTTAATGTTAGAAAGAAGAGTTGTATATGAAAATATTTAATATGACAGTGGTAAAACATAATGTGGCATTTTGACTTCCATAAAAAAATACTAAATCTCTCTATTTTTACATAAGGCAAAAGAAGCACGAAATTCTCAGTTATATTTCCAATGAGCACCATTTCGGTAATGTAACTAACCAACGAAACTAAAATGTAACTAAACACCAAAACTAAACTGTAAATAAACACCAAATGAAAATGTTTCTAAAAGGTAAATATTGCATTTTAAAGGCTTTAAACGTCCTTTATATTATTAGTTTTAAAGATTAGATAGTATGGCCGTATAAAAGCGGTTTTAAAATGAGCCGTTATGTTCTTTTAAAAAAGGGTATATAATCCTAAAATTATTTTTGCATTGTATGTTTGACTTATTATATAATTTTATGTTTATTTGTTTTGTTAATCACTTTTGAATAACTGTTCATTACATTGTTGAAATATCATAACCTTATATTTATGCATATTATATGCCTTGGTTTTGAATAAATCTTGAAATCTTGATTACGCTTGACTATCCTGCACTAAGAAAAATTAAAACAGGTCTCGTTTCTTATCTTTTAATGTGGTCGGTTTGAAAGGTTTAAAGTGGCCCATAAAATGTTATTTTGCCCTGTAATTATCAAAATATTTTAAACACAGGTGTAGTTTTCCGAGGTAAAACAATATTATACTTGATTTATCTTTTAATATTTATTTTGCTGGAAATACAGACACGTGATTTAACTATCACCAGATGATAAACACTTGCCTCTTGGAAACTTATCAAGAAACTATTTCTTCTTACGAGAAAAGAGTAAATATTATGTTATTATATTTCTGCCAATACCTTTCACGATTTCAACATCACGATTTCAACTTAATTAATTCAACTTGATGAATTCATGTTTTGAAATTGAAATCGTGAAGTTAAAAATATGAATTCATGAAGATGAATTAGTTAAGTTGAAATCGTAAATTCGTGAAGTTGACATTGTGATTTCTTTAAGTTGAAATCGTGAATTCGTGAATTTGAATTCTTAAATTCACGAATTTAAAATCGTGAATTCAGAAACTTGAAATTGTGAATTCACGAAGTTGAAATCGTGAATTCTCGAAGTTGAAATCATGAAAAGTGAATTCATGAAGTTAAATTGTGAATTTATGAAAATGAAACTGAGAATTCTAGAAGCTGAAATGTCACCTTCGTTTGTTATTTTGTATAATTTTTGTATATAATACAAAAACGTGTTGAATTATACCGGAGCTTGAGTACATTATTATGTTAACTTGCAAACATACCATGAAGACCCCAGGCAGATCTTCCTTTCGCCATCAGAAACTTATCGGATAAATGTATAAACTGGCCGGCCTTCCCACATAAAAAGTGTCCTTTAGCCTGCGGTGCTTTGTCGCCATTTTTGTCTACTGAGAAAAAGGAGTCTTTCAGTGGAGGTGTGGGGAGCTGCTTGTATGTTGATTGTCGTGACCATGTCTTTGGTATAATTATTTTTATCTTTCTAAAGTAGATCTGATTGTGAGTGGCTTTAAACAACAGTTGTGAAGCGTTTGTAAGCACGTTCTGAAAATATAAAATACGAATCAATGCAAAACGTTTCTGCTTTAAAGGCTCATAGTTCCCCAGAAATGTAAATGGTAAATTACCTGAACCATCTATAGCTTATGTTGCCTTTTTAGAAATTAGTACACTTATAGTGACTTAGTATGTTTTTTAACTCAAAATACAACTTTGTTTACATTTTGCTACTTTCATGACAAATAGTTTTATAACCATAGCTTATATCTTCAAACGTTAAGCATTTGAGGTATAATGTGCCTTTAATTATGCGTATAGAAGTACGGGACGCCTAATGTAGGCCGTTTAGTTGCGGAGACATTTCTTTTTTATCATCTACAATTTTGATCAACATCTGATTGATCTATTTTAAAAATGAATGCGTATATATACAAATACTTGGTGTACATATTTAATACCTATATACTCCTCGGATCTCACCTGCAGAATACAAGTTATTTGAAGTGCGATAAGAATATTAAATCATGAGATAACAATATATATGAAAAAATATAAGTTATTTTAGTAAAGTGTTGTATTTATGTTGAATGGGGGGGGAGTTTGGATTTCGGATGCGAAGAATTATATTACAAGCAGGATGTTATGATTTATCCAAATCAGAGATTTTATTGAGCGTTAAAATCAGTTTGGAATATATTTTTTTCTTAAATAATACAAACTTTCGGTTCTTGTATGTTCAATAGGGAAAATGCGGGTTGTGTTATAAAGATCAATAGCTCAAGATGTAAGCGCTTAATAGGAGCGATGTGTAATTTTCCGGATGCAGGATTGTAATTAGTATAAGATAAAGTTTCTTTCCAATTTGAAAAAAAGGAAACAAAATTATCTATGTGAGGAAATAACACCGCCCAATTTGATGGTATATGAATAATAGATTTCTTTTTCTAAAGGAAATCATTTACTATAAACATAGGGTCATCCTGTCTATATAATATTTCCGCATCCAATGCTACTTATAAATGTAGCAAAACAACTGAATTTTAGAAATAAGCTCAGGCGTAATTGTAGCCATATAACTTACATGTTTATAATTTCACGTGAGTTGTCATTAAATTTTGATAAACATTTATAAAAATGTCGGTATGGGAACATGAGTATATAAATATAATTTTTGATAAAAAAAGGGTTTAAAGCAGCATGCCTCCACATTCCTGTTAATGTTATGAATATGATTTTTTTTTTGAAAATGTATTAAAATGCAAAATATTGTGAAAACGATTTACACTTAACAAACGGCACTTACAACACATGTATTTTACAAAAAAGAAGGTCACAATATGCAAACACTTCCGTTACAGCGATAGTAACGCAGTGGAAATATGATGATAAATACTGCAAAATCGGTCATTCATTGCACATAATTTGGAAATGATCACTTTTATCTTGTATATATATTTACATCTCTTAATATCAAAGTACTTTTTTTATCAAGATTGTTGTTTCTTGAAATGTTTTGGCTCATCTGGAGGCATGCAGCTTTAAACTGGAAAACATAATGTTTAAATAAAATAAACGAAATAATATTCCCTTCTTTCTTTATAAATTTATAAGATTCGAATTGTTATGATAATGTAATCTTTTAACATAAATATGCGTAAAGGAGTATGGGTTATCATGAGAAAAAATCTTATAAATCTGATATCTTTAGATGAAACACATGCCCTGTGTATTTTTTAAATGTATGATTAGATAAAAGAAAACAGGTTGTGACTATTTATCAAATTGTTTTGCCACTAACTTTATATGGATGTGAACTGCTGAAATCCTTTCAATAAGCGGCTATGTTTAGACCGTAAAGAGAGCAAACAGAATGCATGAAGTGTATGCAATTGTTTCCCCGAAATACAGCTAGCTTATAGAATGTCGGTGGTTCTACTCCTGTGCATGTTTGTGCACAAATGCATTGGCAATGTTGTAGACGCTTGCAGAATAAATTCGCCTACATTAGTTGCACAAATAAATCCATGACAATGTAATAGTCTGACGCTAGTTGCAAGAAAAAACTTGGCAATGAAAAGACGCTAGTTGCACTTAGTAATTAATGGCAATGTGATATACGCTAGTTGCATAGTAATTGACACAAGTTGAAGAAATGAATTTCTGACAATATTGTATAAGCTAAATGCATTCATGAATTTATCGCAATAATATTGACGCAAGTTACACTAATGGCAAAGTAATTGGTATTATGATGCATTTATAAACTGATGGCAATGTAGTTGACGCTACAAATGTAGTAGATACATATTGTACAAATGTATTTATCATGGTCTGCTAATCAGACAGTACAAATTTTTTAATTGTCCCCAACAATAATAAATGGTTTTGTCCGATTTGCATGAGATGGTCAAGTCCATTTAAGATATTTAGAGAGGTAATGGTTATAGATGGTATTGAATGGGTGTAAGTTCAATACTGAATTTATTGAACGAGTTGAGTAACGTTTTATTATGCGAGCCTCTGGCGAGCATAATATTATTCTATTCAACGAGTTCAATAAATTCAGTAATGAGTATACACGAATATCATATTCTATTTATCACATACCCAAAACAAAGCCTTTTAAAAGTGATAAAAAAATCATGTTTCATTGACTCGCCTATAATGTAACGCTAACATTTAGTGCGCCTTTAACGCAACTGATGCCACTTCAAAATAAATCCACGGCAATGCAATACCGTTTTTACGGAGTCGCAAAAGCGGCACAGGTATGTGTTAAAAAGGCTAATAAACCAGCTGACGTAAACGAGGGCATAAAATACATTACATTGGCTAATAATAGCTGAAAAATCCCCTGTCTCTAACGCACACTTTTCTTCCTTATCGACTGAAAAGATTGTCCTTTATCGCCAAATCATAAATGAATTTGGTGCAATGTACGTTAAATAAACAGTGTATTTTTAAACTGTATTGTGCATTTAGTTTGAATGAAAAAGATAAACTTGTCTAGTTAAACGCGTTTTATCAATTCTATCTATATGAAGGAGTTATCGTATTCCTGCTCAATGGTTAAAACGAATATAATAAGTATGATAGTGTTCACAATACTTAAGCTTATGTCAAGTGAACATATAAAATGAATTAAGAGTCTATAATACTATTTACCCTCAAAAATAGCATTACATATATGATATTATATAGAGGATATTTGTTTAGTTCAGTGTAAGATCGGAATATATTTCACCGAGTGAGCACCAAAAGGAATATTTTACGAGTGGCGCAGCCACGAGTGAAATATGAACTTTTGGTGTTCACCAGGTGAAATATATTTCAATCTTACACTAAACTAAACAAATTTTCTTTTTATTACATGCAAAAAGAATCGTTTTAAAAAGACATTTAACACCCTGGATGAACAAGTTTTGTCACGTGACCACAAATGCAAACGCCGATTTTACATTTCAGCAATAACGGACCCGATTTCAGGTAATTATTTGAAGATATCTTTTTTTCTACTGCATCCACAAAATTATGACCTAGACCTTAGGACCCGGCGTTAATTGAGCTTTTATTTTATGTATGTAGTACTTGCGAGGCTTCTGTGATTTTTTAGAACACTTCGACACAAATTTTCTTTTTGGTAGGCAAACGCCGATAGGTTTTACCTTTTCTAATCTTTTTTGTTCACTGGAAACCTATGTTGAGGGAAAGAAATAGAAGATATATGTTTTTTTACAAGTAATTTTCGTACCTAACTTATTCATAATTTCATTAGCAAGGTTATATTCGAGATAAACCCATGTTTTCCACTTGTTGTCGATTTTGCAAACGTCGTTTGATTATGTAAAATGGGCAAACGTCGGTTGGTCATTTGAAATATATGCAAGCACCCGTTGATGTCTTTTTGAACGCTGAACTATATTTGTCTCATTTCCAGAGTTCTTCATCATATTAAACAATTTCATTGCAAACTGATTCTAATATCATTCTGGCCACTACGCCCATGGTTTCCAGATTTATTGAATCTGTCGGAAGCTCAACCGTTATGTCTTCTATTGGTTACAAACGTGTTACAAAAACCAAAATCTCAGATATGTCATCCAAATCCAGGTGTTCTGAAATTGACTGCATGGTTGCTTTCGACAGACAGTTTAGAGAAAAAGGTTTTTTCAAAACTTCTTACAACCAGCTGGAGAACTGGTACTCAGAAAGATTACTCCAGTAAATTAAGACAATTTATGATATGGTGTCGTCAAAAGAATATTGATTCCTTCACAGCATCCTTAAATACTTGTGCTGAGTTTTTATCAGATCTGTACAATAAAGGTTTACAGTAGGTTACCGCTCTATTTTATCTCCAGTAGATAGCATACCTATTGGTCAACATCCGTTTGTTATCAGATAATTAAAAGTATTCAATTTAAGAACTCCTGTAACAAAGTTGTTGCCTGTATGGGATTTGCCTAAAGTTCTTAGTTCACTACAAACATTTCCTTTTGAACCTTTGAGAAAAACATCAATTGAATTTTAACATATAAAGTTGTTTTTCTTACAGCTATCACGACATTCAGGGGAGCCAGCCACCTTCAAGCGTTAACATTAGGAGGAGCTATTTCTGTGAAGGCAGATGGGGAAACTTTTAGCAGAAAAGGTTTGGCTAAACAGGATAGACCTGGTCATTCATCAGCAAAAAATTTTGTAACAGCTTTTAAGACCATCCAAGAAGAGCATTTGCTATCTATCTTAAAAGAACTAAGGGATTTAGATTAAACAAGTTTATTTCTGACAATTAATGTACCTCATTCTAAAGCTTCTTCACAAACTTTGGCTTCATATATTCTTAAAACAATTCAAGAGGCTTATGAAGATAAACATAAAAACGAAACAGCACATTCTACAAGCGCTTTAGGTCCAAATTCTCAACGCTGCAGATTGGTCAAAAGAAAACACCTTCGTTAAATTTTATTTGAAACAAGTAAATCCAAGTGATCTCACTGTGTAGTTCAACGTCGCTGTATTGTTCAACCTAAGAAGATGGATTTTTT